ATTAATGCAATAAGTGGCACATTTTTTTGATGAATATTCTATTTTTTATGATTTTATTTATTTTTCATCTTTAAAAAATAAAATAAAATAAAAACGACGTCAAAAAATAATGAAATTTTACATACACGATCCTTACATTTTTCGCCTACTGTAAAACTGTAAAAGCTGCTGTTTTTACTAAGCTCTTTCCCCCTCCATAAATGATTAAGCCTTACTCTTTTTTTTTCGCTAATCAAGCCTCTCTTTGTTTTGTTCAAAAAAAGAGCTTTTTTTTTTAATTGAGTTTCACATTTTTTTAATATATTTTTTCCCTGCAGCCATCTCCCTTGTCTCTCACATCATCCCTTGTCTCTCACATATACACGTGGCCACCAACCTCACTCTTCCTTCTCCCTTTTCTCTTCATTCAACACATTGCCAATAAAAGCTGCCACTTGCAGTGTACGGAAGCTAGCACCTGTGAATGCTTCTGTAAGGATGTGATGAATCCCACCCGTCCATTTTCATCAACGGCTGAAAATCACTTACCGGATAAGTCAGGTAAATAGTTGCTGCCAGACTAAAGACATTTCCTATATATATATATTTAAAAATTTTACGTTTTATTTTCTTTTTTAATTTATTATATATAAGACAATATTAAAATGTTGATCATCAAGGGTATTTTTGATATCTTTTAACAATCTAATCTGGTTTTTCCTTTTTTTTTTTTTTTTTTTTTTATAAAACTCTCTCACAGAATACTTTTCTAAATTTTTTAAAAAAGATGACGTATCATATTTAATTAAAAATTTATGAGACGCTTAGTTCAATATTTAAAATTATTATTCATGATTTTAATTTTTAAAATTTAAATTTTTTTATGAAAGAAAAATATTGTCAAAAATCAAGAACCACATTTCATTAGGGATTGTTTTTGAATTTTCTCAAAATTTTGCGACAACATTTACTTAGTCAGCGCTATATTTTTGTTGTTTAATCATCAGCATTCTTGAACCAATAACACACCAAAAACATTCTTTTCAACAAAAAAATAAAATAAAATAAGAACAAAAGTCAAAGCTCATTATTCAATCTTCCGGTGCTAAAACAGGCCTTTTTACCTATTGACTTCTTCACCTCTAAAAACTAAGAGTGACAATTCGTATTAATTAGTCATATTTGTGTCAACTCATATATTAATTATGTCAGAAAATATCAATTTAAACTAATATGTTTATTAAACGTGTTAAAAATATTATTTTAAACACAATTTATTTATTAATCGTGTCAAACCGTATAACTCGTTTAAATTAATATATTAAATAAATAATTAATATAATAATAATTTAATTAACACAGTCAAGATAAGTTTAACATATTTATTAATCAATTTATCTTTATCTTCAAGAAAAATAAATGAATTTTACCAGTAAATATTAAAATAAATGAATTTTACCTCACATTATTTGTATATCATTATATTACAGATGACGCATATAGTTAATCGTGTCAATTCATGTCACTTTATGTTAGGAAGTCAACCCTAATCTAACCCATTTATTAATCGTGTTAATTGTATCAACCTGATTATGATCCAAACTCACGTCGCTATCCGAATTGTGAGCCCTACCTTTTCAACATTTTTTGTCGCGTATTTGGATTGGATAGCATTTATTTCTCTTTGGTTTTTCATTAATTAAGACCTCTTGCCGTTAAGTTTTATTTTTATTCTAAAAAACAAAACGACATGCTTGATGCTCAGTCTTTTTTTTTTTTTTTTTAAAGTTTTCTAAACTAAAGAGATACAAACATCAACATTGATCTCATTAGACATTTGATCCCGATAACAGAGTGATTTCACCTTATAATCTAATGAAGTACAAATGCATAAAAACCACAGGCCAAATTCTCATGATCAGAAATGCTAAGCCCCGTTCATTTTACTGATTCGAGTTTAGAATTCGAGTTTTGTTACAGTAAAAAGTTTTCAGAAACAATCATATTTAACTTTTTTGTTACAGTAAAAAATTCTCATACAACGTCACATCTCAATTCAAATTAAAAATTTAAATCAACAAACTAAATGAATCCTCGCGAATTATCGAGCTTTCAACTGGGTTTTTGATATAACCTTTATTTTCGAAATAGTAGTAATTTAATCGGGGTTGACTGCGTCTTACAAATTGATGCTCAGTCTTACTAATCCAAGTAGTAGTAATTATATCAAGGTTGACTTCCTCTGGGCTGCCCATTTTTATCTCTTTTTGTAATGACGTCTGATCTTACCTCTTTTCGTCAAACCTCATACATAGAATGAGAACAAAAAGGCAATGATTTCAATTTTCAACGGCTGAAGAACAAAAAAGGAGTAGGTGAGGGACACGTGACACAAATTTAACATCAACAATATTCAGCCAAAGAGGATGAGATTTCAATATGAACAAAAGTAAGAAATAAGGTTTGATTATAGAATGAAATGCTTTCTCAAGACGTACGTGACCTGTTTAGTTCGTTGATTCGAATTTTTAATTTAAATTAAAATGTGATTTTATGTGAGAATTTTTTATTGTAGTAAAAAAATTAAATGTGACTGTTTTTAAGAGCTTTTTACTATAACAAAACTCGAATAGGTGAAATGAACGGGGATGACATACCAATGAAAGAACGCAGATCAACTGTCTTATTTTCCTATCTCAGTGATTGTCTCTCTAATTAAATTTTGACACCTCGTGAATCACTCAAATATTTTGAGTATTTGGTTTCTATTCATGTGGTTAGATTCTTAAACTTAGATGACATGACAAATAAATAGTTAAAGAACAGCCACCAAAACAAAAAAAATGAGACAACATATCTAATCTCACTAACGAAATCCACCGCTAACCTGATTTACCTAACAAAATTAACCGACAACTTGTTAGTATACATGTACATGTTTTTCTATCCGTATAAGTTAATGTATACTCTCCGTATAAGATAGTGATACTTGTGTAGACATATCTAAGCGTATACATATACAAACCATTATTGCCATTTATGCACATTCTATATGTTTGCATATGTGAAGTTAAGATGGGCCAAAATTCTTTCCTCGTATGTTTAAAGAGAGAATTTAAAGTTTTCTAAAATCCTCACATATTCTTGTAAATCAGAATATAGGGGAATGTGCTCCAATCCATGTTAAACTTTGGAGGTTCAAAAACTTTTATAGTCCCTGATCTGGAGCATCTCAAGTAAATTCTCTAGTTTAAGGTAACACATATTTGTGACTCCCAAAAATTAATAAGCTGAAGGAGCTCTTCAACTTCCAACAATGAAATAGTTGCACAGGTCGTTGCTAAAGAACAGTTCAAATCAAGTATGTGACTGTTGTTTCCACTGCCACAACAGAAACATGATCAAAATACATTACACAAACCTGTGAACTTTCTGATAAATCATAAACGGAAATAACTTCCTTTCCAACATAAGATCTTTTTGAATGGTCGCGGCATCCGATTGTTTGATGGCAGGAATATTGAGTGATGAGCATCTTCTTGAGGTTTACCTACCTTGCTGGCTAGCAGATCAATTTCCTTGCGCGCTTCGGGCATCATTAACTTCAGCATCGCTCCCATCTAAACAAGTAAATGCATTGTTGACACTTGGTTCCGAGCTAGCATTGCTGCTTGTAGCAAGAGGAGAGTCTGAATTGCTAGTCGCCCTGTTTTTCGTCCCGCCTGATCTGATACTATACATAGAAGAAACTGGAATACTTGTCACCACTGGTCGTAGATTACCTTGCATGCTTCGCCTTATGTCCTGAACAAGGCATTCCTCGATCAAATTAACAATTTCATAGTTGGAATCATGAAGGTAGCTTGTCAAACATTTCATTGTGATCATAAATGCACAAGTCAATTAGTGCTCAAAGCATACTCATAAACCACGGGTTCTCAATCACCCAAGTACTCGGTTTTATAGATTTACTAAGATAAGCTTGCATTTCATATCAAGTGGATCTAAAGGTTTTGTACCCGATATGCAAAATTACGCATATTATCTAGTTTTCTAATGATAGGTGACACTATTTTGGAAGTACTGCTATGAACAGCATTTAGTTTGACAAGGAAAAGGATACATACCATGTGTCTTAAAGCCATATCAAGAGACTTCTTTGAGAGTGTTCTTCCGAAACCCAAGCTATCAGAGAACAACGACTTCCCAGCTGAATTATTATTGGAGTGATCATCTTCTCGTTTTGGTGGTGCCAGTTTCCTCATGTTTACGACTCTTTCAACCATTTGTGTTCCAATAACAACAGGACTAACTTCATCAATGTCGTTGCAGCGCGATTTACTCATAGCTCGATTTGAGTTCCCGGTACTAGTGACGCTGCTTTTCAAAGCCCGTGCCCTAGATGGAGAACATGATTGCTGTCTCAGTTTTCCACTGGAGCCAGTCGCAGTAGAAGATGATTTAACACTAGGCACCACAGGCCGTCCCCTAGATGCAGAAGCTGGCCTTTCAGTTAATGTAGTCCTCAAATTAGCAGGAACATCAAGAGAGAAACCAGGCATCTCAGAGGGTTTCCATGGCCTAGATTTTACAGTTGGGGAAGGGCCACGTGATGGTGCTGAACTGTTTGTATTTGCGGGACGTATTTTAGATGCTGAAGAAGCTCGCCCGGCTGGAGCAGAGACGCCATGTGCACTCAATGGGGTTGATGTTTGACGCGTAGGAGTTGCTGATCTTGTTGCTGACTTGGCAGCTGGTACGGAGGGTCTTGCAGTTGGCGTTGAAGACCGAGCAGAGGACCTAGTTGGAGTTGAAGACCTCATTGGAGGAACCACATGCTTAATGGAAGGTAAGGAGGGCCGTAAACTTGGTGTGGAGGATCTTGAGGGTTTGGTTGTTGAAGGTAATGTAGGCCGAGCAGTTGGAGTCGCAGATCTACGGGTCACAGGTTTATGGCCCTCAGATGATGAGGGCCTTCTGTTTCCAATAGTAGTCGAAGACTTCAGTTCCGAATTTAAAGTCAGATTTTTAGATGCTGTAGTTCTCCTTGAAGCGGGCTCTACCTGGATATTTGCCGGCTGCAGCACATAAAATGAAAACGCATGCAAAATTTTGATTGAGATAACATAACTTAAAAACAAATATGGAGATAAGAGAAAACCAAGAGTACTTCGTGTAAGGGACAATAAAGGTCCACAAAATTTTATGACTACCGAATGGGAGGTAAAAATTTCCACCCAAATGAACCATTTGTGAGCATGCTACACATGTATGTCATACTGTTAGACAAAGGAAAAGGCTACAAGCATCCAACTTACACTAACTTGATATTTCTTACCCTTGACCTCAATGCAATCGGACGAGTTGTTGGAAACTCTTGTTGACTCGTCGCAGTTGTCCGTGATTCCATCTCCAAATTAAACAGTGGGGTACCAGGTGGTGTAAGAAGCCTGTGTATAGATATCAATTATAAATACTAACCATAGTACATAATCATAAAAGACCTCATCAAACACATCATAAATTGTACGATGTTGTCTATTATATACTTTGGTCCTTCAAATGTATCTCAAAATCCATAGGTTCTTTTATTTATTTTTTTCCCTTACTTGTGAAGACATTTAAACTATAAATATATAAAAAATGGGAACTGAAAACTAAGTTTCTGGGCCAACAAAATATCATATCATTTCTTCATGAAATTATGTTCCCTTCAAATTTCAAATTTATTTCCTCATGTAACTCTGTTCTTTTCTAAGATAGGATTTCCTAAAGCGTATAAAAAGAAACAAAACTCAAAAGAGACCACAAGCTTTAGGGAACTATTCATGAAAGAAGGCTTTAAAGTAAAGTGAATAGTCAAGAAGCAAAAAAGTAACTGAAAGAGTAAGGCTCCATTTGGTCCTCAAGAATATCAGAAAAGGAGGTGATAATATGCTTAGCAACAAAAGGAGCCCACTAGCTTTTCCTTTTCTCCAGTGATAAAAACTGAGTTCTTATAAAGTAGAATTTTTCCTTGCACTTGGTGGAAATGGAATTAATGTTTATGAGATTCTTCTTCAACTCAGCACGGTAGACAGAATTCAGTGACCAAAAAATTATGAAAAAAAAAAAAAAAAACAGAGAGTATTCTGCTTTTGAATTTTGTGTTTAAGAATCAGAAACCAAAAAAAAAAAAAAAAAAAAAAAAAAGAGATCAATTATAAAGTTTTCAAAAATTTAGATCTCCACGACAAAATCAATATCTACTAAAATATCAATTTTTAAGCCATTATTTTAGCAACTAATTTCCCGCTCAAAATTATCCTGATCAAGTTTAGTTCATTTTAAAGCAACGCCGCTTGAAGTGCTACAATCACACCTAAAAAATTTGAGCAATTTTTTTTTTTAAAGAAAAAACATAAATCAGAAGATTACCAATCGTAATCAGATTTCTCATTTTCCGAATTCAAGAACTCATCAACACGGCTCTTTCGCTGCAATGGCAAAGACGGTGCACTCCTCGAAATCGGCGAATTCTCGTTATTGTTTGTTTCTGGAAAAGGCAAACTCCATTAACACATTCTCTTCCGTTTTCGTTTTTTTTTTTTTAAAAAAAAAAAAAAAAGCAAAATAAGAAAGTAAAAAACGACACCGTACCTTGAGGAGGAGGAAGCTCTTCAGAGCTAAGAAGAAGATTGTTATTGGATTCATTCTCTTTTTCTCTCCTCCGCATCTCGAAGAACAACGACAGTTCTTCGTCTTTCTCGCTCAAGCTTCTCTCTCTTCCCTTGGCTTGCATTTCTATTACTTCCTTTTTTTAATCAAAACAAAATCAAATGTTTTCTTTTTCTTCAAAACAAGTTATGAAAACACCAAAAATGGAAGCTCTCAGATCTAACTGAGGAAATTAAAAAAAAAAAAAAAAAGAGCTAATACTATTAGTGGGGTAAGAGAAAGTGGCATTTAATTGAGAATTGAGATTTGAGAGAACTTTTTTCACACATAAAAACAAAATCTGAAAATGGGTTTGTTTAGTATTTACCACTTTCTTTTCCGCTCCAATGATGACCTTCTTTTAGAAGATCAAGTGCTCAAACAACTAATATATGTGTGTCTCTTACAGGGAGATTTTCAGAGAGTCAGAGACGTAGAAGAAGAAGAAGAAGAAGAAGAAGAAGAAGAGGGGCAATGGCAGTTCCGTAATTTTAACTGGATTTTCCGTCTTATTCGTAAGAAGACTATGAGAGAGGGAGCTTTCGTTTTTTTGGCGTTGAGCAGAAAACAAACAAAAAATAGGAAGAAAATCAGGCTGATAGGATTTGAAAACGAAAGAAAAAATAATTATGAAAATGACTATCTTGTCTTAAATGTCCTTGAAGGACAGATTTGATAACGAAAATGCCATTACGTCTAATTAATGATTGTGATGACGTGGCATCTTTTTCCTCGAGCCTCACATGCGCGGAGTTCCCGTGGAATCTCGATTATTTATTTTGTCGTCGTATTGATCCGTTTAGTTTACTGATTCGAGTTTTTAATTTGAATTGAGATATAATTTTATATGAGAGTTTTTTACTGTAATAAAAAAATTAAATGTGATTATTTATGAGAGTTTTTTACTGTAATAAAACTCAAATTCTAAACTCGAATCAGCGAAATAAACGGGTCATAATATTTTCTTCAAAGTTTTGGTTTAATTGTCAAAATCATCAAATTATGTTTTACGAATTTCCATTTTATATGGGAATTTCTATTTTTTATTTGCCAATTTATTACTAAATAAAATAAATACGTTAATGAATCATGGTTCACCAACCACATGGTCTCTATCTAATTTCTCTTCCAATTAAAATGACTGAAAAACCGAATTATTACCGCTACTTTATTTATTTCTCACTGAAATTAATCTGACAAATAAATAGTGAGGGACAATTTCGTAGTTAAGCGGTGAAACGTGGCCAATCAAATAAAAGGATTTAAAATGCTGAAGAACATTCTCCCCCCACATGGTAGCAGGTTGGGACCCGAGGAATTCAAACTCTGGCGTTCAAAAGATGCCCAGAGTTTTTTGAACGTGGGCTGTTCGATTCCTTGGGATGTACGAATATTGATCATTGATCGCACGGCTGGTATTGGCTGAGCTGGACGAAGGAATTAAAGTGACCAAATATGGTAAAATTATGTAGAACGACACGTGGCAGCCTTGTGAGTCGTGCAGGTTTTTAAAATGGATTACTCACGCGCCCTCATTTTATTTTCTACCTATTTAATTTATAAATTTAGAATTATAATTTAAAATTATTTTTAATTTATGTCTAATTATTTTACTTTTTTTATTTTTATTTTTTCATAAAGTTTCTTTTTATTCCTCTCTCTTAATTCTTTTTTTCTCATTCTGCTGCTGATATTATCTTTAATTATTGCACCTTTCCTTTACCATTGTTTATATAACTTTTCAGGTCACATATCAATAGACATAATATAATTTGTCATTCTGTTGTATTTTTTTTTATTTACTCTCTTTTCCTTATTTTTAAGTTGTTTTGTTTTGTTTTGTTTTTTTTCTGAAATCCCTATTGAACTTTAAAAAAAAATCATTCTCAAAGCTTCAACAAAACATAGAGAAAGATAAATAATAATATTAATATAACAAATAAAAACTGGTGGGCATTTAAAGAAAAATGAATCAATTAATTTTATGAAAATAGTTATAGGGGTAATTTGGGAATAATAAGAGTGTTTGAAAAATAAATTTAATATTTTAAAAATTATATGAGGTGTGTAGTTAAAAATGAGTGTATAAAGTAAAAATAAATGTTTAAATAGAATCACCCTTTTAAAATTTGAGGGTTTGGCTCTACTTACGGGCCCCAAAGTGATTTCAGATTTTTTTTTTTTTTAGGGGATGTCTTTAAAGTTATTATTGTGATTGCACGAGAATACTACCCAAATTGGGTCTCCTCTTTTATTTTTTTTACCTTTTTTAAATGACCTTATCTGGTAGGCCGATCTATTAGTATGTCAGTTTTTGACCGTTAGATTTAATTAAAATTATATTAAATTAAAAAAATATATAAAATAGACAGTTTTTAATACAAATTTGACAGCAAGAGAGAGAGAGAGTTCTGCAAAATGAAGCGTTGTTCCTGAATTTTGAGTTTTGACTTCACTTCATGGATATTTTGATGTTGGTAATATGAAGCATTGTTCCTAAAATTTTATGTTATCACCTGGTAGAAATCTTCGTTACTTTAGTGTTAATAATCAAAACTACCAATAATAAGAATTAAAGAGATTTAACATTAAAAAAGTAATAAGAAATGGAGTTGGTATAAGCATGGGTAGTAAGGGATGGAGTCAGTATAAGCATGAGGGGCTGTAGTCTACCAAATCTCAGTTGGCCTTAGTAAATTTTTGTAAGAATTTAGTATTTTTCTCTTTAATATTTTGCCCTCTTATTTTTTTTAATTTGAAACTTGATACAAAATTCAGATTCTTAAATTTTTTACTTACACCCTTAGGGTGTGTTTGGTTGGGTGGAAAGGAATGGAATAGAATGAAATTGAATTCTAGTTTGATGTTTGGTTGGATTTATAAGAAATGAATGATCATTCAAAAGGAATGGTCATTCACCCATTTTAAGTGAATCATCATTCCTTCCTCATATGGGAGGAATGGCCATTCTAAGTTTTTTTCTTAAATTTTTTACTTACACCCTTAGGGTGTGTTTGGTTGGGTGGAAAGGAATGGAATAGAATGAAATTGAATTCTAGTTTGATGTTTGGTTGGATTTATAAGAAATGAATGATCATTCAAAAGGAATGGTCATTCACCCATTTTAAGTGAATCATCATTCCTTCCTCATATGGGAGGAATGGCCATTCTAAGTTTTTTTTTTTTTTTTTTTTTTCCATAATTACCCTTCAATATTATAATATAATTAAAATATATTATAGAGTAGTTATATCTTATAATATAATA